TAACCCGCTCTTGTGTCTCACCTGCAGCGCGTTAGCAATACAATATGGCGCACGTACCGTAGGCCCACTTTTGATGATATATTATGCCTACGTAGATATTTGAAGTCCGTTCGTTTCAGCCGAATGACGTCCACTGCTGGACAAAGGCCTTCTCCAAGGTTTTCCATAATGAACGGTCCTGCGCTGCCCGCATCCAGGCTCTTCCCGCGACCTTCACCAGATCGTCGGTCCACCTAGTAGGAGGCCTGCCCACGCTACGTCTTCCAGCCCATGGTCATCACTCGAGAACTTTTCTGCCCCATCGTCTTTAGGAGCTATGTGCCCCGCCCACTGCCACTTGATTTTAGCAATTCTGCGAGCTATGTCGGTTACTTTGAAGATATTTGAAGTAAGTTATTTTGATTATTTTGATACCTTTTGTTCAGGCCAGGGCCAAGGCTATTTTGACACCACTGTCAATTGGCATACTTTTTACGAGTATATGCAGTCAAAATGTGTTTCTTAATGATTTGGTATGGACACCGACGAAATCTATACTATCTATACTAATATTATAAATGCGAAAGTAACTCTGTCTGTCTTGCTTTCACGCCTAAACCACTGAATCGATTTTGATGAAATTTGGCATAGAGATAGTTTGAGTTTTATCCCGGTTTTTGAAACAGGGACGCGCGCGATAAAGGTTTTCTGTGACAGACAAAATTCCACGAGGGTGAAACCGCGGGCGGAAAGCTAGTTACCAGATAAATAACTTAATTATTGATTAACCGCAGCGTTGGAAGATGTGTACCGGCCAAACCTTGCCCGGTTGGACGATGACGGTCGCAACACAGTTTTTACTTAGCGGCGGGTAGGGGACGAAATCTGATACATTTTGCCACTTATAAAAAAAAACTCATGGTATTAGAGACATTGTATTTGACATAATTATTATTATCAAGGGATATGCCGTTGTCTGTACAAACTAACAGTGTGCTAACAGCTTCACAATAGACCAAAGTACGCGGAGATCGTTTTTTACTTCTAAATCACAGATCGTATCTTGTGACTGCTTTGCTACGTCTTTCGCTGTATAACCCGGTCAAGTTAACTGCGCGCACCTGGATGACGTGACGTTATATTGACGCTCTTGTACGGACAGGGCGAATACGGGGAAGTGCGAGGGACAGTCTCATTCCAATGAGGCGCAGTCAAACTGAAAAAATGTTTGGTTACTGCTTACATAACAAAAGTGACCACCGAACTAAGTGTTAACTATAATCAAACTAAGTCTAGCTCACTAGAGAATTATTTGTTTAAGGCGATTAGAGTCCTCAATCCGCACCAAATGGGCATTTTGTAAAGCCTACTCCTCTTTTACTGCTGGACAGAAATAGTTGAAAAAAATATATGTTATACAACAGTTCAAGGACTACATTTGTGACGTTTGAATTTTCGCTACGTCTCTTTGTTGTGGATTAAAAAAATAAATACGGGACATCGATTTTTTACTTAAATTCCCTACTCCTCCAAAACGGCTATGTTAATTTAAAAGATTTTTGCACGAATAGATTGGGAATTCTTTAATCTTTAAATGACACGTTGCGTTTTTCAATCGAACATTACTTTCATTCATAAATTTTACTTTTGATAAATTCCGAACGTTTTGCTGTTGAGGGGGCCTTCGCGGGGTGCGGGCGGCAGTCGGCCGCTGGCCTTCAGACGGGGAGGTTGTGTCACTCGCTACAAACTGACATTAGCGATCAAAATGAATTTTTTCTTTGGCTAAGTTGCACCACCTGACGTGACCTAACTTTGACCGTAGCTTTGGCGATAACCGGTGTTTTTTGTATGGAGTTAGACAGACTTTTGACGCTTGTCAAAGTTGAAGTAAGATGGTGCAACCCAGCTTTTGTTCGACAATAGATTTTATGTCAGAATTGTTCATAGAGTACGTGCAGTCAGATGATACTATTGAATTATGACGCGCTCAGACGCTATTTTCTACCTGAATAGAATCTATTAGTGTAAAAAAACTATAATTGACTCCAAAACAACTGCACTAGATAAATACAAGTAAAAAAATTATTACGATATTTATTTACTAGGCCTTTGCAATCAGTATCCAAATTAGGAGCTAGTCAGAATCTGTAACTTAATCGATTTACGTGAAGAAAACAATTTATATTTTTCATACTTATTAGAATTAGATTTTCAATGTGTTTCTTCGCGAAAATACCACAATTAAAAATAACACCTGTAACGCCCCTGGGTCTGCGGGTGTCTATGGGCGACGGTAATCATTTACCAACAGGTGATCCGTTAGCTCGTTTGCCTCCTGTCACATTAAAAAAAAAATCCTCTTATAAGGTGATGAATTTTAGGAGCATGTCATGAAACCAAAATTATTAGCATACAGTTCAGAAGATGAGGCACATGACGTCAAGGCATGCTTAAAAATGTGGCGATTTGTGTCGTCACGCGGAATTTCATCGCATCATATCTTCGTAATTACTTGTTTAATTGACATTGACAAATAAAAATACTTGTGATTCTGTAAACTAATGAAATTATTTAGGTATGATAATAAAAAAATACAAATCAAACGAGCCTAAACTCGATGGAATCGTTTAATCCCGGAGTTGCTATGGGGCCACTGGCATTCCAGCTCTACCATCAGATCAGCTCCATGTCATCACAATATTGTATTGTCACCCGAATTACATGTACTATCGGGGACTCGAACGCCTTGACACCTTAAGCACCCTTAAGGGCCTAAATTGTTTGCACACACACGCTCGATTATGCTACGCCCCCTTCATTCATGTTTCGCGTCTAAGCAGCGTCGGCGCACCACTGTAGATGTTTACCCTTGCAAACCAAGCTCTATGTAAAGCGTTTAGGATTGAGTATTGCTTATTACCCGCATCCGTAGCGCTCGTTTGGCAACGTCGCATTTTAGTCAATTTGAAACCCAATAAAGAATCGCTACAAAATATTATAAGGGGCTTCGTGTAAAATTTGAACTAGCGATTGCCCGCTCGGGTCACAAAATTGGTATCGCACATTCCGAGGTAACTGTGCAATTTCCTGAGAAAAAAGTAGCCCTTTCTATAATTATTGTTGATATTAAGATTAAGAGTGTAAATCTCGTGATATTAGTTTAGCTAGTTAAGGCGAGAAATACAAAATCATATAGTTAGTTACTTACTTTCGAATTTTACTTATTTAATAGGTATTTAATTTATTCGGAACTTATAATTTATAAACAATATTATGTTATTGAATTAATTAGTAAAGAGTTAAGGAATATTTGTGGCTTAAAAAGAATTATTGTAAGATAACTTCATAATAACTTTCTTAAATCCTTGAATGTAAATAAAAAAACCTATAATAGGTTTCTATTTATTTTTAATACATTAGCAACTTTTGTTTTCCGTTTTAAAGAAACACTTATCTAACTACGTTATTACAATTTAATACAAATATTGCACTAGGTAGCAATGATCCAGGTAATTGGTTATCGTAAATATTATAATATTAAGTTAGTTTTATTTCAAATACATTTTTTTATTGCACATTAAGTGTCTTTACACAAGGTCTCCGGTTACCGTTATAGTTACGGTCAAAGTTAGGTGGTGCAACTCAGCCTAAAACTAAGAAAGATTGAAGAAAAAGAAACATTTCGTTTTAAACCTTAACCGTATGACAATAAAGTGCACAATGGTATTTCGTATTGCAACCTAAGCCCTGATTGTCTCTTATTGGTCGTAGTAAAAATATAGTAAAATGCGTAACCAATTAGAGACGGGGTGAGCACGTGACCGGAGCGATGCGCTTACGCTAAAATTTCTACAAAGTGGTCAGGCGGAAGAGTCCCCGATAGTACCTATATCCGAAATTTTAACTCAGTCAATTGATGAAGGATTTCTAATAAAAAGACAAATACATTTTCAGTTTATTCTTCATAAGTGACACAGAGAGAATGACAATAGACAAAAGTAGAAACATTTGCTTTTTTAGGCCACAGACAATACTAGGTACTAATGCTTTCCAATAGGGATGATGACTGGGTAATGAAATCGAAATTCTATTTAGTCCGTCAGACAGATAATTAGAAAACATTAGACTCATATTTTTTAATTTTTTCCATAATCGAATAATTACAGTATTATATTGAGTTGAAATGTCGCGTGACGTCACATTTGAGTAAAAATTCTACTCAAGCGTGGCGAATCGCGCCATTTCAACTCGATGTAGCACTGTTATTATTTAATTATGAAAGAAAATAAAAAATATGAGTCTAATATTTTCTAATTATCTGTCTGACGGACAAATAATTGAAATTTTGTCATCTAGCCTAGTTGTCGTCAGGAAGTTGGTCTAACTAATTCAGCTTGCAAGATTCCATCCGAACAAACATTTATGTAATTACCTACATAAGTACATCATAAATTGCAAGCTAAATAAAAGCTTGTAATAAAGTCGGGTTTGTTCAAATTTCGAGAACGACTGAACCGACAAAAGCATTAAAAAATTTACGAAAAATAAATTTTTATCCCGTACAAAATGTTCATGGATTTTGTTATTTTTATTAAATACCTTTAGGCCTGAGAAATGACACCGACATTAAGGTTCATCAATTTAAGTTTAAAATAATAGGCAGTAATGTATGAAGAAAGAGCTTCTATTCTGTATCTACCTATGCCCGTGTATTTTGATCGGTGTCAAATCGGAGTTTTTGGTGCGGGGTACGCGGGTGTTGCTCGCGGCGTGAAGGTCAAACGCCCAAGGTCATTGAGGACTCTAATCGCCTTAATTTACACAACATTTTGTTCCTCATAACCACGGTGTTCGTAGTACACAGTAACCAAACATTTTTTTAGTGTAGCTTGATCGGGTTATACTTTAACCATGTATCACGTGAAGCTACTGTATAGTACACCTGTATAAGACTATCGATCAGCGTTTGAGAGGCTTCTGAATGCGGTTCGTTAAGCACGTTAGTTCGACGGGGAGGCGCGTGCCTCTTGTTTCTTCGTCCACCACACTGGTTGTATTGGATCAGATAATATTTGATTACCGAGCAGGTGCTAGTGTTTATTTGGTAGAAGAATTCGATGGTTGTATACGGAACAGGTACGTTTTTGATGCAATTTTTGAGGAGCATTATTTGTAGAAAACTAGCTCTACATTTCTGCTACAGTAGATTATTGTGATAGTTGTACAATACTGACGTAATTTTTTTTCAAATGTTTGTGATATCATCAATGATTTCAAGGTGAGAGTGAATAAGAGTGAATAGGCACTTACAGGGAAGATATGTACGTACCATCCTAGACTGCATCCCACTCAACACCAGGTGAGATTGTGGTCAAATACCTGCCTTGTTATGCATAAAAATTACCAAGTAACTATTTGAATTCAGATACCTTTGAAGTATTTCAGATATTTTCAAAAAAATTTGACGTTTTGTAGTATGAGTGCAACCTTTCTCAATTTGCCATTTGTTCAGCAAATTGAATGTGACTGTTTTGACTCGTAATACATTTTTTCACCATCCATTTTGTCTTGAAATAAAAGTAGTCTTAAAATAATAAAAAGGTACATTTCATGTAATGACTACTAGATACTCGTATTGTGTATTTCTGAGAGAGTTAAACAGTTTGTGTTTCGTAAAAATAAAATTTCAAACTTTAATTTTCATAGTTATTAATTTTTTTCTGAGGTTAGGAGTTGCCTCTAGATCTAAATATGTATTTTTCAAGTTAAAGAATAAATTTTATAATAATACATTAACTTAAAATGACTTAAAACTAAATTTTAAAAATTACTAATGATACAAACTATTTACAAAATAAAAAATACTTCACTCCCAGCGCCGCAGTCAGGAATGGTGCCCAAAAGGCTGGCAGCATTGCCACGTTGAATGGCCAGGCTAATTCTCTGACCGAAATAGCTGCCAGCCTTTTGATCACCGGTCACCTCGGTGAGCCTCTTTGCCAGTTCCTTATAAAAGGAACGAGCGCTTGGACCCCATGGTCCCATAGTCAAGTTTATTTAATTTTCATATCTAATATTTGTTTCAGTAGATTATGAAGAAGAACAGGCAAAGTAGTGGACAATCTAAGAGAAAATCAACAAAAGTGGCTGATAGCAAGGAATCTGAGAAAACCGATAAAGTTGGTGTCAAACCTGACTCCTTGGATGATGAAGATCAAGGCTTTGGAGGATGGCTGAGGTTTGTATTCTTTCTTCAATTGATTACTTAGCAAACCAGTCAAGTATTTATTGTCCTATACTTACTATACAGAGTTTGGGCAACATGTTATTGTGAGAATAGTCCCGGCATATTAAAACAACGATATTAAAAAGTGTTGCATTTTTGATCAACCATGTTATTAAATTACTATTATTAGAATGTTTGGAACTTACCTATTTGTTGATTAAAAAAGAAAAAAGGTTACTCAACTCAATCTTCTTCTACTTCTTGACGTGTCGACTTATACAGTGCAGTGTCAACCCAAAACTCCGCCACAAGAATAGGTACTCAACTGAATTATTTCAAAAGAAAATTCAAATTTCTCAATTTGAAGAATGATATTCTAGAAAATTTTAACATTGTGTCAACATCAATAATGCTTTTTTTTCGTTAAACTTTTAACAAGCCTTGAATCTCAATGAACTGCTTTTTTCAGACAATATAATTGTGTTTTCAGATAAATGCTTTTCATTTTTAAGAAGCCTAGATTTAATATTGTTAACAAAGTCATATTTTGAATTCCAAAGTCATTTACAAAATCTGTCGCTGCTCAAATATTTTATAAAAACTTTTAATAATATAAAATGTAACTTGAAATGTGGTGTTAAAATGACGGTCATATTAAGAGGATCAAAATAACTTTTTTAATAAATCTGTACTTGTTAAAAGGAGAGTTATGTTTTTTAACAGCCTGTATTTTTAAAATATCAATTATTAAATATATTGTAGTTCGTAAAATTGTATAAATGCTTGTAATATTTTACTTTTCAGGTCTTCCGACGGCATTGAGACCATGAAACTTTTCGTCATAGCGAACACCATTGTAATGCTTACGACTATCGTCTATCCACACGTTCAAACCGCAATCGAGATCATATCAGAGATGATATATGACCCCGACACTTTATACTGACTACAGGATCCGACAATATATCAATTCCGCCTTTGTCCTATATACACGAAGGTCCATTTTTATTCACTCCAGTAACACTGAGAGCCGGTGAACTAATATATCTTGCTGGTGACAGTCTCAACTATTTTATGAGCACTAAAAGTAGGTTTTGCGAATGTAGATGTTTGGGACTACTTGTTGATAGAATCTTGAACGTCGGTACAAGTTTAGAAGATCAAAGTCTCCACATTTTAGAGTAAATTGAACTTTATTTAAACGAAATACGTGAGTTTAAAATAAAGTTTTAACAATGTTAGGCTTATTCTTTCGCTTGATTTTCTCAATAGGCATTATCGTATGGTATTCGGCTAGTGTTTGGAATATGATAACTGATTATTTTAACAAAGAGTTTCAAAGGCTTGTATTGAATAACACCGATATGATAGAGGACGATGACATTGTAATGTAATTTTTATTTTTATATTAAATGTGTGACTAATATTGATGTTATTTATTATGCTTCGTCTTTATAATTGCACCTATTTACCACCTAAACATAGATTTGAAGAAAATTAAATTAAGGTTAAAAACCTTAGCAGTATGAGATGTGACATGGTAAGTAGGTAAGAGCCTACAGCATGATTAATGGGTTAATCTCTGACCCATAATGTCTTCGGGTGCGCCTTAACTTGGCAGCCACACTACAAGTAAGCTGGGCGCAAGGTTACATTTTTTCCAATACATTTCGGCACATAATAAACATAAATATATTTCATAATATATTCCAACACAAGGTGGACCGACGACGACCTGATTGAGGTAGCAGGAAGGCGCTGGATGCAGGCCGCTACAAACCGTGCGATGTGCAAGTCATTGGAGGAGACAGCAGCATTGTTCAATAGTGGACGTCCTATAGCTGAAATGATGATGACGATGATGATGTTTTTTTATAATCAATATTATCGGCGTATCCATCGGTGGACAATGGACATAGGCCTCTTACATACGCGCCATTTTACCGTGTCTCTAAGTTGCCGCATCCAGTTTCTGCTAGCGACTCTTAGCAAGTCGTCATTTCACTTAGCTGGAGCACGCTGGAGGGCGTACTACTCCTGCCGAAAAAAAGCTTCACATTTTTTTTTATTATTATCTAGTAAAATGATCGAGAATTTCCCGGGAATACACTTTACTTATATTTTCAACTCGTAAGCAAGAGCAAACTCCGTAATATTTTCAATCTGTCCTTCCCACTCGTGCTCTCCAAAATCCATACGCAGTCGACTTTGCACAATGGCATACGTTATATCAAATTTCTTACGGTGGCATTGAGTCCCAAATAACATCGAAAGTCAACCCTCAACTGCTGTGTTTATTCTTGGCAAATGTTTGGAAGCCAACGTGTCGGGTCGCGCAATCGATACGCACAGGTTTCTTACTAACCCTGGCGCACCGCCAAATGCACTCGCAGTTTGTACTGGTTACGGATGTGATTGTGTCGATAAACAATGCGTGAGAAACTATGCAGATGAAAAATTACTAATTTTCCTGGCGCAACATGCATTTGCAATTTCACTCTTTTTCTTACTTCTGTTTATTGTTTTCTAGTGGGTGAAAAGATACGTAATGAACTATCTTCGACAACATTCACTTATCTTTTTTACATTGTTTTTCAATCATATCGAAGGCCTATTTTTTTGCTTGGAAATAGTGTCGCTGAGAAGAATAAATAATAATTTACTTTGGACGGCACCTTCAGATATAAGATATATTGGTCCGATTGGCACGTCTAATAGGTATTATAATTGAATAATACAGAAACAATAAAGCCAATTTACAACCTCAACCTCGTTTTGAGTTAGATGTCTGCGATGACCTTTCTTTCTTCCTTTTTTACCTGTCCTCCTAAAGGTTCTAAAATTACCAACTAACAAAAACTAGCCACAAGTTTTCGATACAGATCTATTAATCCCATCACTATTTCAGTCCAAGCGCAGGGCAGCACTGCGATTTATTAAGGCTCCAGCAGCTAACTGTTAACTAATTATTTCACTCATTCCAGTAAAAGGCCATTCACTCAACTGGAGCTGGGAAATGACATTTTAGTATGGCGGACTCACCGTTGATCTTATGCAACCCGCTTTTAATCAAAACTTAATTTTGTCTGACATGAAATGAGCGTAGTTTAAGTAATAAGACAAATTAATAAAGTTACTAAAGAACATAGTATTTGCTGATTGTCGTGATTCGTGATTTCAAAAACACTTTTACTTTTGAAACGAAAAACATACATAATATAAAGTTTCTACAAGGAATAAATTAAGTGAGTAAGCTGTATATTTGTAATATTTTGAGCAGCATTTAATTTACATAATTCATTTCCATTATGAATTTGTTCATTCACAAAAGTTAACTGCTGTGAAACCAAAAAATCTGCAACTTTTAGAACGTAATATTAGTATTTTTCTGAGCTAATAACACGTAACGATATTCGTTTTATAAAACGATGCATCCACGGTAAGCAGTTCTCGTTATAAATTGTTACCTCCGCTCACTCTAAAATGTGCCCTATCTAATATCACCTAGAGGAAATTTTCAAATATCACACAAATATCTTTAAGTAAAGACAACGCCGTCATACTGCTGAATCGTTAGATGGGCGATAACCTTTCCTGAGCATACTCTTGCTTTGGAAAAAGGCGGTCAGGCAGATACAATCGTTTGAAAGCGCTTTCTGTAATCGCTACTATATTTCAGTATTATTATGCGTCGTAACGCTGTAAGATGTAAAATGATTTTGTTTTTAGATGCCTTTTAGCCTGGTCTATAAAAGTAAAATCGCTGTCAGAAAACTTAAAATTTGATATTCAGTTAATCGAGAATACTTACTCGTAGTAGGAATGAAGAGGGACTAAAATGGGGAGAATTAGTAAGATCACTATCAAAATTTAATCCAATTGCAGTACACTGCGTGCTGAATACCTACCATAAAGCATAATTCTCCCACTTTTTAATCCCGCCACTGCCAGTTATAACTCGCTCATAGAGGAGGTTTTACGTGTTCATGTATTTCGATTTGGGAACTCGTGTTTTCACAGATCATGGCCAGTGATCTTTCTTTAACTTACAGCATTTTTGGACAACGTCCTTTTCTATAGTTGGTGAACCGGCTTTGATGTTTCGGCTCAGAAGTCAAATCTCAATTGATTGTAGGTATGATTGTAACCTTAACGTAACGGTTAGCTCAGCATAGGACGTCCACCCACAATATGGACAGACGATCGTCTTTAAAACATAGAACAAAATACCAATAAATACACAATTAATTTCTATAGAACAAAATACACAATCGGCTCTATGTTACTGCAGTGTTGTAAACGCGTGTAAATAGGTCTCGACACAGTCACGCGCGTCCCAGCGCTGATGGCCGCTGATTGCATATTCAGTTCGTACGGAATAATCGCGCAAATAGACGCTGTCCGCGGAATACTGACATGATACGCAATTAACAGTGATTCCATAATAGTTGTTGTAATGCCAATGGAAATGGAAATGTAAATCCTTGGGGGAGTCTTTGTCCAGTGCAGTAGTCGTCATTTGGCTTAAACGAACAATGTCATGATGGCTGCTTCGATTTTTTGTTGTTCTGGACTTCTGACTCGATTACTTTTAGAGCAATCTTTAAGCTTCTTAAATGAAGCTTTTATTGATGATCGTAAGTTCTACCAGTTGTACAGCTAGGGACTTGAATTCGCTGCCTGCTGCTGTCTTTCCTGAACACATCCGGGCCTTTTCAAGGTGAGAGCAAATAGCTGCCTTGTCCTGCATAAAAACAAGGTCGCAGGAAGTACCTGGATGCGGCCAGAGCAGGAACAGTCGTTGTGGAAATTAAAAATAAAATAAAAATTCTTGGAAGAGAATTGTGTCCAGCTGTGGACGTCCTTTGGCTGAAACACAGAACGAAATTAAATTGACTTTGATTCGAAAAAGCAAGATTCTAGGCTACCATGGATGCAGTTTAAAGAGATGAACAAAATCTAATTGCATAGGTAAGTAGTATTTTTGGTAGGTACACGATTAAAGTCTAAGAAGATGAAGTAGGCTGGGTTGAACCATCTTACTTTGTGTTTAAGAAAGGTTAAAAATCTGTCAAAATCCATACCAAATACTCCGGTTATCATTATTGTCACGGTAAAAGTTAGGTGGCTTAAAAAAAACTCAGCCTTAAAAATTTGCTTAACATCCGAAGTGTCCGTATGTTTATTCTCGCTAATGTTCCGAATCTCATAATGGAAGGTAAAAGTTTGAAGTGTGTTAAACTTGTTTACAATGTCTTTCGTCTGAAATGTGCATAGTTAAATTAAAGCTTACATTTATGATTAAAGCACAGATTAACTAGGTCACAGTGTAACAGCATTGTTGAAACAAAATATTTGACGTAGGATGACGTCATAATCAAAGTAGGTAAGCGCTATGGAATCTTTGGTCCGATTTCCACCGAGGTGGAGCGGAGCAGAGCGTAGAAGTGTTTTCAATAACCAATCAGATTTCATTATTTCCAATTCTCTTCTCCGCTCCGCACAGCTCCGCTTAGCGCCGTGCCGCCGCTGCTGTCAAATCTACTATATAAAAATAAGTCGGGTCTTCCTTCTTGACGCTATAGCTCCAGAACGCACGAACCGATTTTCACGGTTTTGCATTCGTTGGAAAGGTCTCGGGCTCCGTGAGGTTTAAATAGGCTTTATAATGTAGTCCACGCGGGCGAAGCCGCGGGCGGAAAGCTAGTTCTATATAAAAATTTGATGACCCAACACTTCTCGCTCTATTCCTCTCCGCTCCGCCTCGGTGGAAACCGGGCCTTATGTAGTTGTAAATTACGTATTATTTTGCAACAAAAGGCATGCTATTTTAAGTCTTATGTCAACTGTACCAAAGAAAGGGCTTCTTTATCAGATCATTCTTCATTGTTCACTGCAAAGTTCAGTTATCTACTGAACACTACTCTCCATTTGTCCTATCATTTCGTACCGCAATAATTCAGCGTATGCTACACAGACAACTTAGGTATATAAAAGATGGTTTTCAATTAATTGTAAAGAGTTAAGAGAAAACAAATGACGTCAACTTTATAGCATTAAATTAATCTATATATATAAAAGAAAGTCGTGTTAGTTACTCCACTTATAACTCAAGAACAGCTGAACCGATTTAGCTGAAAATTGTCAGGGAGGTAGTTTAGAGCCAGGAGAAGGACATAGGATACTTTTTATCCCGTTCGAAATAAAAAAAAAGTCTGCTTATTTATTGCCATTAAGGCGGAACAAAGTTCGCCGGGTCAGCTAGTTCTGTATAAAATTATGAATTCATAATATTATGACAGCTCTCTCGTAAAGAGTAGTAAGTAGGTTCGATTCCCACCTTAGGTAGTTCGATTTTTTCAAGTTGTTTTAAAAATATTTAAGGTAAGTTCTGTTGTTATGTAGTGCGTA